CTATTTAAAGATGAAATGGTCTGATACAAAAATATAGGTGCTATAGGAGCTCAGAGGAGAGAGAAGTCAGTGAGAGCTGGAGTTATCAAGGAAAGTTATATGGAGGGAGGGGGCTGGGGCTGAGCATTGACGGGTGAGTAGGGCTTGGGTAAGGGGGCAGGAAGAGTAGAGGACTTCAGGCAGAGGGATGGCGTGAGCAAATGAGTAGAGGCTGGAATGATTGGGGCACATGCTGGGGACAAGGAGAAGATTTGCTTGACTAGGTAGAAAGCTCAGCCCGAGCCCTTTCTCCTCCTTCAGCCTGTATTATCCCTGCCACAGTTCCTGTAGCATTACTGGATGTCACTTAGTCAGTATTGTTGCATATTGTCCAGTCACTTTCATGTGTGTGTCTCTAGCTGTCACCATCATATTTGTAAGCTATTGGAAGGCAGGGACTATACTTTATATAAGCTGGGACCTGTCATTCAATGCAATCCAATCCAATCCAGTTCAATCCAACATATATTTATTGAGTACCAGCTATGTGCCAGTTCTAGGTTTTTGAGATTCAACTAAATGGACAAAGATACTGACACTAGAATCTAGCTCCTAAGCCTAGATTCTAGCAGGGGGGATACAGACAACAATAAACCCTATCAATGATATAGAGATAAACTATATAGTATAGTGAAATGTGATAAGCACCATGGAAAAAAAAGAACAGAGTGAGGGGGATTAGGAGTCAGTGTGTGTTGGTGAGTGTGCATGTGTGTCTGTCTATGTATGTATGTAGAATTATTAAATGGATATTAAATAGAAGGCATTATTAATAGTGGTATTAAATAGAAGGTCAGACTAAGTCTTATTGAGAAGGCGAGAACTGACCAAAAACTTGAATGATTTGCCCAAGTGGATATCTGGGAGAAAAGTTTTCCAGACAGAGGGGACAGCTAGAGCCAAGCCCCTAAGTTGGAGCATGTGTGGCCTGTTTGAGGAGTGACAAGGAGGCTGTGGAACTGGAGTTGAGTGACTGGAAGAGACAGCGGTAGGTGGGGAGGTGGGAGAGGTCACAGGGAGCTGGGTCATGTAGGGTCCCAGAAGCCACCCTATGGACTTGGGCCTCTACTCCAGTTAGACGGAAGACCTTGCAGGGTTTCAAGCAGATGAAGACAGGATCTGACATATTTTTTGATTAATTAATTTTTATTTATGTATTTATTTATATTAAGCTGAGCCATCCTGCCACCTGTTGGCAGCTGTTGGCAGCTCAGCTCGGGACGGGAATTGAACTGGCGACCCTGTTGCTCAGAGCTCACACTCTTGAGCAAGCTCTCAACCAACTGAGCCACTCGGCCGGCCCTTGATCTGACATATTTTAAAAAAGATCTCTTGGGCTGCTGTGTTGAGTATAAATGATGGGGGTTGGGGGTGGGGTGTAGGCCAGGGCAGAAGCAAGGTGATCTCTCATGAGATCGATTTTACAGACACAGCCCAATTCATGCAAGTCAGTGAAAGAAGACCTTCAAAATATGCCCATGGGAAGGTGCATGTTATGCTTAAATGTGCTCATTAAGCATGTCATTATAAGATGCACGTTAGATTTTTGTCCTGACCAAGTAAGCCTGACTGTCCAGCATATTTACCAGGCTTGGCTTCAAGAGACATTTTTCTCCCCTAATCAACACACAAAGATTTGTCATTGTCAGTAAAGAATGTGATGATGTTTGAAGGTGGTTTTCCAAGAGTTCCAAAGAGTTTAGATCAAGGTAAGATATTAGAATAAGTGTGTATCATTTTGAATGGGATGATATTTATTTTGATATCCAAATTTACTATGTTTGTTAGAAAAAATTCTATTACTTTAGAATATTTCTTCTGTATGCTGCTTTCTGCTGAGCAGAGGTTGGGCACTCAGCACACAGCACACTCAGTAAGTACTCAGGGGATGGAATTCAGCCTTGGGCATGCTGGTATGTGCTAACTTGCAAGTCAGTATTAAAAATTCCATTTGAATTTCCTAATCCAACGAATTTTAAGGGGGCAAACTATTTGCTTTTTCTCCAGAGAAGTGAGACATGCATATTTAAAAGAGGTTTTTTACCTTCTTCCCCTAAGAAGCCAAGGTGACCACTTTCCTGTTAAGTATCTTGCAAGTCAATTTAAGTGAATGAGCAGTCAGGAGGGTAATCAGCCTGTCACCCAGTAAGAAACGTTGTTGAGTGGCTTCTGTGAGTATTAGTCACTGAGAGAGGACACAAAAGAAATAGAAACTGCCATCTTTGCCCTCATGTTGCCCCCAATCTGTCGAGGAAAAAAATGTGAACCATGAAAACAATAGGACACTTAGAAAGCTGCTGGCTGGTGGGCCATTGGAGGAAAGGAGACGCCTTATTACCATATGTTTGTGTATCATTTTAAACTTCTCAATGTACTATAACATCCATTATCTCATTTTATTTGGTCCTCACAATAATTCTGTGAAATGAAACCACAGACCGTTACAGCTGAAAAAGACCTTAGAGATCACCCATTTTATCCAATTGCCTCAGTCTATAGGAGGACATCGAGGCACGACTGTGTGAAGTGCTTTGCCCTGGGTCACCTGGGAAGCAGAGCTGTGAGGACTGGACCCTGGTCTCTTGGCTTCCAGTCCACATTTTTTTCCTACGCTTTCAGAGCAGGGTTACAGGGTCGAGGTCAGAGGAGCATTTAGTGAAGTTGAGGAAAAGCTTGATTTGGCAAGGGGGAGAAAGAAGAGGCAGCTAGTGAGGAGAGCCCCTAATAGTCAGTCATTTCGAAGAGCACAGGCCCAGGCAGGGAAGATGTGGTGACTCATAGAAAGGGCTTAGAAGGTTGGGTCACAGCAGGGGTGACCTTCTGCTCAGAGACACAAGAGGAAAACATTAGCTGTTTTTTTTTTTTTTTTTTTTAGCTGAGCCATCCTACCACCTGTTGGTAGCTCAGCTCGGGCTGGGAATTGAACTGCTGTTGCTTAGAGCTCGCACTCTTATACGCGCTCTTAACCAACTGAGCCACTCAGCTGGCCTGGAAACATTAGCTTTTAATGATTATTTTCTGAGGCTGACCCTCCCACATCTAGCTAGGGTGGCTGAAGCGGGGCAGTCAGGGAGGTTCAGAATGCCTAACGGAAGTAAGGCCAGCAGTGGGGGTAATTACAAGAGGCCTCAATAATGAACTGAATTCCCCAGCATGGGGCATATAGGTTCCAACCACTGGGCTGGAACAAAGAACCTGGATGTGGGAAGCCCACAGGGGAAAGTCCCTGCTCCTGTCTGTGACCAAAGCCCTTGAGTCCTCAGGGGGCCTTTCCATGGTAGCAAGGCCTAAACCTGAGGCTGCCCTGCCCTGCTGTCCTGCTGTGTCCTGCTCTGAATGGAAAAAAGCAACAGGACCCCTGCTGATAATTCTCCTGGGGTGTTCCAGCCCTGGTTCACAGGGCCATGGGGAGTGAGACAGGGAGGACATGTCCCTGGTACAGCAGACAAATGTCAGGGGACTTCTACTCATCAGATCCTTGAGTCAGGCCCGCTCCCGTGTATGGCTTCCTGACCAGGACATTTAGAGCAGTGCTTCTCAAACTTTAACTGCGTACAATGACCTGGGGATCTTGTTGGGATGCAGATTTAGAGCAAGAGGTCTGGGGTGGGGCCTGAGAATCTACATTTTGAACAGGCTCCCAGGCCGTGGGGATGCTGCTGGTTTTAGGGCCACACTTTGAGGAACAAGGTTTTAAAGGGGGAATTAATGGGATTCAGCTTCCTCAAACCCTCAGCTGGATGATGGCCTTCCAAGCTCTTTCTACCTGAGGCTTTCCATCTTTCAGACCACTTTGCATACTCCCTGCCTTTTCCAGGTATCTCAAGCCCCTTCCTCCGAACTGGCTTCTCCTCTGAATACTGGTGGCACTGACCACCTGTGCGGCTTATTTGGCTCTGAGCATCCACTGTCCAGGCTGCTCTTCTCTGTGCACTTGTTATTTCTCCAGCTGGACTGCTGGCTACCTGGGTTTCACCTCCCTTCCTCTGTCCTGGTCAGGCAAAGCCATGACAGCATAAGCACTGCCAGGATTCCGTGAATACAGACTCCTTGAATTGATCTTCTCTTTTGGAGCCGACATCTCCTTTCCTGCGTCCTTTGTCACCTTGCTCAGTTGGCCCAGAGAATCCTTGCTGGGCCAGTCTCTCTGTCCCTATTGCCTGGGACTCTATTTCTAGAACAATAAGATGGATTCCGTTCCTCTCCTAAAAGGGTGTTGAGTTCCGGAATGGAGGGAATGGTTTTCTCTTGGCAAAGGAGGAACCGCCCAGTCAGGCGGGCCAAGGGACCATTGATCTGAATCCAGTGAAAAAGTGGCTTCTTAGGAGCACTGGATCCAGGCCCACTTCTAGACAACTTCTTCTTTCAACTCTCTTGCATGTGTTGCAACTTCACAAACATGCCAGTTCCTGGCTGCCCCCAGAGACAGTGGTGATGGTGGTGGTGGGGAGACCACAGCAGGGGTTAGATGGAGTGGCAGGGTGGGGAGGGGGGTGCAGTGCGAGGCTTCACCCTATCAGAGACTTTTCTGCTGGGGACTAAGGTGATATTACAGGTCTGCAGATACCGTCATATGGACTCATTCCACCTGACTTGTGTGATAGGACAGTCACATGTATTAAAATGTGGATGCCCACATGGGGTAAATTCACACACACACACACACACATCTCACCCCTTTCTCCTGCCTTCTCTCTAACTCTCTCTCTCTCCTCCACACACACAAATACTTAACCAATTAAGTCCGTCGAGCGCTATTTGCAGATGATGGTGTGGAATTGTGCTGGAGTTGTGTCCGGCCTCATTAAATGTCAGCATTAACAATACGGCACTTGGCAATCAAGGCTGCTCTGTGGCTGTTAGTCATTAATCACCATCTGACAGTCCTGAATTGGAAACGAGGAGCCTGCTCACATGTGCTCTGTGTACCTAGTTACCCTCTCCGTAATCAGTCTCGGAAAAGTTTTCTTTGACTCCCTGCCTGCGAGGGCCTCTGTCCTGGCAAGGGGGCAGAGGGTCATTAGGCTTTGCTCGCCTCTCCTCCTCCTCACTGGGAAAAGATGTCGAGGTCCTAGAAAAACAGGGGAGAGAGGAGCATATTGTTTTTGGCCTACTTTTCCCCTCTTAGGCCTGTTTTATGAACCCTTGTTTTTATATTCTGGCCCAATGGCCAGGAAAATTCTTTTTCTCCCTGAAGAAATCATGAAAGACAGCAGGGAGCTCGGTTCTGTTCCAAAAGCTGGTGGGGTAAGTTTGTAAAGTGTGTCCTTCCCAAGCTGCTCAGGTGTGGACCTTTGTCTGCTAGGTGGGGGGACTTGACTGATTTCAGGGATGGCTTCCCGCTACTTGGGCCTGAATTTCCACAGGTCTTCTGGTTCCTTTTGTAGAATGGAGAGGGGGTCCATTCTCAGCTCCTTTCTCCAGCCTTCTTCATCATTCGTTTATTCAAGAAATGTCTATTGAGCGCCTGTTGCCTACCAGGCACAGACTAGACACTGTGGCTCAGCAACGACACAGGTCAAGGTCCCTGCTTCACGGTGGTGGCTTTCAGTGGGCGAGATAAGGATCAAATAGAGAATCTGTATTGGGGCGGGTACTCTGTGAAGGGAAGTCCTCCCGCTCTGCATGCTTGCCGTGTGTGCTGCCTGGCTGCCAGCTTCTCCTGGGGACACTGACCCCGGCTCTGCCTTTCCTGAGAAAATGTTAATGTTTCAGAGCTTTCCTGACCTGGTTCCTTCCCACCCCTCTGTGGTCTCATGTCTCGTTCCCTGCAGACCCTGCTCGCTGTCGACCCGTGTACTGGTCGTTCGCAAACAGGTTTGGTGAACACAGATGTGTAAGAGGGTTGTCTTCTCCCCTCTACCCCTTTCGGAAGGACATTTTAATGATTTTTTTTTTTCCCTAGGACTTTGTTCCTTAACTCCAAGGAATGAGTTGAGCTGGGGAATTTCAGCCGCCACGGGGGGTTGGTAGGGGAAGGAAGGCCGCTGACTGCCCAGTCCCCAGTCGGGCCAGCTCTGCTTGCCTCAGGGTTTGCCACTCTAGCCAGAGTCCTCGAGTGACTGCCCGGGCCCTCAGGACCGCCCTTCTGTTCTGGGCATGGAGGGACTCAGGAGAGAAGGAAAGGCTCTGGAATAGTCGGTCCCTGGGCCGTGTGGAGGCGTGCATTCTGTCCTTCCCGATCGCTCTGCCTCTGTCCGTCCTTTGAGCTGTACCCACCACCATCCCCAGGCCTCTTCTCTAACCCAGCTAATGACTTCAGTTCAAAGATGTTGACAAATGTTTAAGCCTTTTAGCTGTTTTCCAATTAGAGGATATCCAGCAAGCATTTATTGATTGTCTGCTATGTGCCTGGCACAGTCCTAGGTACATGGGACACACAGATGAATAAAACACCATTCTTGCCTTTAAGGAAATTAGGATCTTGTGGGGGGCAAGGAGGGGTCCTCACATAGAGAAGGATTGTAAAGGAGACAAAAAGAAGGCGCTCAAGGGAACCACAACTGGTTGGGGTGCAAGTGAGACCAGTGAACTTGTGAGGAGGGGGATAGGCTTTTTAGGAAAAGGAACAACTTGATACAGGAGTTTGATGTCTAGGAGACAGTGAGTTGTCATGCTTGGCTCCTGTGACGGGTTCTGGTTGGGCAGAGTGGAAGGATATATGTGGCCATTTTGTGGGCAACTTTAACTAAGTTTAAGGTTTGGCCTTGATTATCAATAGGGAGCTGATGAAGGTCTATGGGTTTCCAAGAGTAAGAAACACATTTTTCCATTTTTCATTAAAAAATTATCTTTGTGCAAGAGAGAGAGCCAAATATCCCTCAAGCTTCACACTCCTGGCAGGAACTTTGTAATTATATATTGATTTGAGTGATCATTATCTTAATTTCTTTCTCCATCAGTAGCTCCATGCTACAGCCTTAGGAGCTAGAAAATCTCAAAGCTGTGTCCCAGGGCCTCCCTGCAACACTCTGGAGAGGTCCTGTTCAACCACATCAGCTTCTGATCTCCCTCTGGCTTGCGTGGATACAAGGTGCTGCCTTGCCAAGGTGGTTGCTGGCATCTTGGACTATGGGATGATTGGGTGGTCAGGGCTCTCTGTACCCCTGGCTTCCCTTCTCCTCCCAGCCCTTCCCACTTCTGGATCTTCCCTGGCTTGGGCTGAGTTACTGAGTTTTCGTCCTTCCCTGGAGGCATAGCTATAAGGGTAAGTGCCTTCATGGCAGAGAGTGCAGTTGATGCTCAGGTGTGGATTTCCCCAGCCTGAGACACTTCCCTCTTCACCTGGCTGACCACTCAGCCTCAGGTCTCAGCGTCAAGGTCATGTTCCTGGACAGGTTCTCCCTGACCTTAGTGCTAAATGAGGGTTCTTTGTTATATCCTTTGTGTATGCACTATAACACTCTGCTTTTCCTTCATTTCTACTATCAGAATTTATAATTAACATTGATTTGTTCAGATTTTTCTCTCCTTATTAGCCTGTAAACTCCATGAAGGCAGGAACTGTGTGTCTTTTTGCTAACTCTTGCATATCCAGAGTCTAGCCCTGTGTCTGATATGTAGTAGATGCTCAATAGATGGTACTGAATGAATGCACTGATGGTGTTGGGTCCATCTTGGGGCCAGATGATCTCAGAGCTGATTGGGCACTTACCCAGTGGCCTGGGGATAGGTAAACCATGGGATTTTTTTCTCTCTTTTTCAGAAGGAAAAGGAGAGAAGAAAATGAGATGTGAGGGGAGTAGATATGGCTTGGCATTCTTGGGAACACTCCTCAAGGCATGGTCCCATGGAACATGCTTAGCCTGCTCCACAAGAGGCCCTGGGTGATGGCCCTGGTTACAGGACCCAGGTTCTCCTTTGATAGAGTCCCCAGACCCCAGAGCCTGATTTGAAAAAGAAATCTATGGATGTTCTAAAAGGAAACAGCACGTTCCTGACCCCAACCGCCTTCTACTGGCCCACTCCTGAAGGATTCTGAGGTTGGAAACCCCAAAGAAGTTTTGGGCGCCATTCTCTTCCCTGAAGCATGAATAAGCCATAATCTGCTGGGGAAAACAGGAAAGCAAAAGAGGAAGGAATGAATATCGATTTTAGAGCAGGGTTGGTTTGAGGCAAGTTAGTATTGGGGGTGGGTGGGGCAACACCCTGACCTCTTTTCTCCTTATTCAAGGTGCTCTCTGGGTTGAGTGGCTTGAGGGGTGTGAGAGCTGAAGGAAGCAGACAAGTCCCTCAAGGCACGAGGGAGGGGGGAGCCTCTCTATCCTAATAGTGGCTCTTAACCAGGGCTGTTTTGGATTGTGGGGGATATATTTGGCTGTCTCCATATTTTGGGGGGGGGCACTCAAACAAGTAGTGTTTTGAGATCAAGGAGGGTCTTGCCCAATAAAGAATTGTCTTGCTCCAAACATGCCCCCTCTGAGAAACACTGAACTAAGAGAATAACAAGGACTTTGATGCTTTATCTCTTTGGGGCTCTAGATACCCCATAGTTTCTGTCCCCCCAAGCTCCTGAGATCCATGGAGAAAAAGTAGAGAGGCTTATCTCTGACCACAAGGGTGTGTGACATGGCACTCAAGAAGAGTTTGGGTTACTGTCCTCTTCAGTCCCCTCTCAGCCCACCGTCTGCACCCCTCAAAGCTGCAAAGCTGTCCAGCAGGCCCTGCTCGCACAAGCCAGGCTTCACTGAGTTGTGACGTTTAACGTTTTCCATATGCAGGGCTGCTCCTGCGTCAGAAAATGAGAGAGGAATGGGAGTGATGTACGGCTAGAGGTGGTTGTGAGTGGAGGTGAGGGGTTGCGGGGTGAGGGCGGGGGGGCAATGTCCAAGGGTTGGTGGGAAAGGTTTTTATGGGGGTGTTGCTGTGAGGGGGAAGTGCTGGGGGGAAGTCGATGGCAACACGTTCTAGCCTGTTGGGAGGACTGCTGTTGGCACCAGGAGAAATCCATCCAGCGGAGCCAACCCTCATTAATCATCCGGGCGGCTGAACTGCCAGCTCCTTTCAAGATCTTTCAAGAAGGGTTTTCACCCAAAATAGAGTTGAAAATGTGCTGGGCCCTACTCAGAATCTCATCAGTCTGGGCATTATGGGAAGTGTCAGGCAGGCTGTGACAGACAAGGCCCACTCTGTTCAAGGGGTCCTGACTCCCACAGCCTGTCATATCAAGCGCCTGATCAAATTTGACAGCTTCATTTGTACCTACAGAATAGATAAAAGGGGCTGTTCATTGAAACAAATGGAGGGGAAGGGGTGGGGGAGGGAAGGGAGGTGAGGGTGAGAGGGAGCGAGTGTGTGTGTGTGTGTGTGTGTGTGTGTGTGTGTGTTTGGGGGAGGAATGGCATTGGGGGAGGGACAGAGGGGAGGGTGATGGTTAGGAGCAAGGGGTGCAAAGAAGGATGCTCTCTAAGAACATTTTCTCCTCCAACACTCACAGAGAAGGGAGTGGGGTCAAGGGAGGCAGGTGAGCATCAAGAAGGGGAAGGCCGTGTAGGCCCCACGTGTCAGTGTCACCATGAGGAGGCTCCGCGTCCCTTGCTGTGCTCTGGGCCCTAAAGCTGTAACTGGATCCAGGAAGGTGGGCCCTGGGAGCAGGAGAGCCCAGGGTGGGTGGCTGTGACCAGAGAGCCGGGCCAGCAAGTGTAATACATGTTTCAATTCAATTCCTGGGCTGAATTTTGCAAAGAGCCTTCCTTCCTTCTCGCTGCAGCCCCTTCATTGTGCTTAGCTGTGCTATATCTGTACTGAGGCTGTCATCCTCCATCGACTAGGCTGCTGGGTGGCCGCACCTATGCAGGTGGCCTCAAAGCACTGACTCCCTTAAGTTATATTTGCAGGTGCCTTTGCGCTCCCTGCAGACAGAAGCTGGTTGGTGTGAGCTGGAGGGATGTCCCTCAACACACCTTGCCCAGTCCGGCTTCGGGCTTTGCTCAGACTGCCCCACTGGTCTCTAAGACCTCTCCTTCTTCCTCTGGTGGCTGAGCGAACCAAAGGATCCTTCCAGCTCCCAGCATGTTCTGAACACCTAGCACTTTCTATGAATCCTCTTCATTTATTAATATTATCCTTTGTTTTGCATTTTTAACATGTGTTTGTACTGTTTTTCCTACTAGATTGTAAGCAGTTTGATGTGAAGGGTCATGTCTTATGCATCTTCTGTCCTCTGATAGCATTTAGCACACATAGTAGGGTCTCAGGAAATATTTCCACAAGTATATGTGCATGCATTCGAGACCATCAGGAGGTGAGCCTGGGGTCAGGGGATTTAAGGTTCCTTCCTGACCTATGGACTTTAGAGAGGGTCAGAGGTTAGCAAGGCTCCGCCTATCCTGCCCCCACCCCTCTGGAGCCTTTGGGAGATTTAGAGAAAGGCCCTCTTCCAGGCTGACGCAGCCCAGGCCAGGTGAAATGTGTGGCCGTGGTGTCCCCACATGCTCCTTTGGCCAGATGCCCTCGTATGGGGCACCACCTGCACAACACTACATGGTGGCCCTGGTGGTAGGAGTATGGGTTTTGGGAATCAGCAAGACTTGGTGGGGACCTTGCCTCTACTGTTTACTGGCTCTGTGACCTTGGGGAAAATGTGTTCAATAACAGACTCCCTGCAGAAAATTGCTGCCAGGATTAAATGAATTTTATATGGAAAGTGATTAGCACAGTGCCTGGCACCCAGCAAGCACTCAATAAATGTTAGAGGGAAGGAAAAAGGGAGGCCATGCCTCGTCCCTTTTTCATTTCAATTTAGAGCACATACTTTGATGGCACTTGTTTGGCAGTGGCCACTGATCATTATCACTTTGAATCAATCCTTAGCTTTTTGTAAGTTTCACAGATGAAAGTACTGCCCGAGTCCAATCCATCGACGTTCCCTGCCCTCTTGTAAGGAGGGGTTGTTGATACGCTGTCTCAGTGCTCAAATAGGTGGTTCTTTGCAGGCTACGTGGTGGAGATGTCAAGACTGCAAGGTATGCCGAAGTCACAAATCTCTTTGAATATTAGGGTCTCACAGCCCTGAAGGGGTCTGTCCTAACTGCAGAGAGGCCAGCCTTGTCTGGTGAGAGCATTCCATCCCCAGAGGCACCTGGTTCCTAGGATTTCAAATGCACAGTTTATCAGGGTAAATGGCTCAGGGGGTTTGGAAGGAGCTTCTGATTCGGAAGGCACGAGGAAGCAGGGTGGAGGTGAGCTGGTGTGAGGGACAGGTTCTTATCCTGGTGTCTCCCTTACTCATGGTGTGGCCTTTGACAGTCGCTGCGTGCCTTCATCTTACCACAAACTTCCCCGCTGTGTACAGTGAGCATGGGGTGAGGGCAGGATGGAGCTAGTCACAGCATCCAGACACCTGTGGTGGGCCCGCCTCCAGCCGTCCTCTCCTTCTGGGCATGAGGGTGGGTCAAAATCCTGCCTCTGCAATTAGAAGGGGCCACGTGACCAGCTCTGGCCAGAGGATTATGAGCAGAGGGGACATGTCATTTTTAGCCTGAAACATGTAATTATTCATGTAAGACCCTCCAGCTCCTCCCCTGCTGTGTTCTCTTCAGTCAATGGGCCTGATTAATTACCTTTAACACTATGATGCTTTCTGATGTGTCACCAACTGAAGAACACTACAGTCTTCAGTTATTTACTCAAACACTGATCTAGGTGCTTCTGTGGAGGAAATTCGCAGATGTGAGTGAAATCCTTCATCAGTTGAATTTAAGTGGCTCAAAAGGGAGATTGTCTGGGGTGGGCCTGACCGAATCAAGCAAGCCCCTTAAAAGCATGCTTAGACCTCCCCTGAGCACAGGAACTCCAAGTGGCTCATGCCAGTAGGTTTCAGCTTGCTTGTGACATTGCCTTCCTGCCCGCCTGCCCTATAGACTTCTGACTAGCTTAGCTAGCCACCACAATTGCATAAGCCAATGCTTTCAGATAACTCCCTTACTCTTTTTTTTTAAAGCTGAGCCATCCTGCCACCTGTTGGTGTCTCAGCGGCTGCTCAGCTCGGGCTGGGAATCGAACTGCTGTTGCTCAGAGCTCAAACTCTTGAGTGAGCTCTTAGCCAACTGAGCCACTCTGCCGGCCTGATAGCCCCCTTACTCTTATTACTGGTTCTGCTTCTCTGGTCAAATCCTGACTGATACAGAGATCCCTATCAATTCACAGTGGAGATGTAGTCTAAGTGAAAAATAAGCCTTTGTTGTGTTAAGCCCCTGAGATTTTGGCATTAATTTGTTATCACAGCATAATCTAGCCTATACTAACTATCACAACAGCATTTATTAGAGTTCTTAGTCCAACATATCTTAATTAACTTATGCATCTATCCCCTACTAGGCGGTAAGCTTGTTGAGGCAAGGCCAGTGTCTCTTCCATCTTTTTAATCCCCAGAGAAGAACACAGTACCTAGTATGTAGTGGGCCCTTTATGATGTTTACTGAATGAGCCGAACCCACTGCACTGAGCAGCATCTCAGCTTTTGGAAGGCCAATGTTGTTTGAATTGCATGGTGTCTAGCATGGTCCTAACACCTGCAGGCACATTGGCCAAAACATTTTGATGGGACATTTCCCCTAATTCTACCGATCTGTAGCATCCAGACCCACCTATTGTAGATACAAAGTCTGAAGCTACTTGGCTTAGTGCAAAAGGTTTTATAGTTAGAACTGTGTTATTAATAGAACCCTGGCTCCACAGCCCTTTAACTGTAAGATCTTGGGCAATTTATTTAACCTCTTCAAATTTCAGTTTGCTCATTAAAGGGAACTGGAAGTTTGCTGTAAGTATAAAATGCCCAGTATATATTGTTATATTTAACTGTGCCATGTCCTACACTGACTGATGCTTCTTTAGCTGCCCTAGGATGGGCCTGGCCTATCATTTCTGTATATTTGTTTGGTGGTACATGTATTTGAAGTTGTGAAAAGTAAAAAGGATGATTACAGTCACACTATTTCCTTTATGGACTGCATACAAACCCATATATAACACAGACACAGACACACACACACAGACACATACATACACACACCCACCCACCCACACACTCACATATTCACATGTACACATACCCAGGAGAGCAAACAGGACACGGGGGAAATGTGCAGTTACATTTTCCCAATTATTGCTCCCATTCTAAAATCTAGCTCTGATTTAAACTCCAGAAGGATCATTTTATTTTATGTTCCAAAGATCTGTGGAGATACCCAGTGCCCACTCAGAGCAAAGGTACCCCAACTGTGGTTTGATTTTTGTCTGCTTTTCATTTCTTTCCTCGCCTGTCCCATTTTCCAAAAGCAATTGGCTGTAGGCAATGAAAAATGTGATTCTTTTTGTAGACCTTGGTTTAACCTCACAGGAGTCTCAACATTATTTTAAATAATAATGTCTGACCCACTTAAACCCCCGCAGTCTCTGAAATACCTGAATCACCCTGTACTTAGCATTTCATCAAATTAAAAAATAATTTAATAATTAATTTCGTTGCAGCCAGTTCTCTGGGTGAAAAGTCCATATTACATATTCTTCTTGTGTATGTGCCACCCACCCTCTATGACTTAGGTAAAATCATGAGGTCCCTTTTTCTGGGTCTTCCACACTTGCTGTGCTGATAGGAACTTGAGAATTGTAGCTGACTGGGGATCAGTGACTGAGCATTCTAACCAATTCTGACCATCATAATGCTTCACTCTTTAAACATTTTATAAACTCATAGAATATTCCCATTAGAAAGAGCTTAAAGATTATAGAGCCCAATGACTTCATTTTAGAAATGGAAAAGAGACTCAGAGAGATTAAGTGACTTGATCAAAGTCACACAGCAATTAAGTTTCAGAAAAAATCCAGGTCTCCTGACTTCCATTTCAGGGCTCTTTCTACTATATGTACAAGGACTGAATTTTCTGGACTTTCTAGGATGGTCCTAATGTTCACCAAAGTACTTGTACCATTGGTCTCCATTTTGAAGTTTATAAAATATGGTCACTTCATTTTTTTCTCAGCCAGCAGGTTTAACTTCTTTTCTCTTAAGAGAAAGTTTTCCTTAAAACTTAAAAGTTTATCTGTGATCCAAATTCACTGACAGCTTTTCCTGTTTTAGGAAGTGTTAATAATCCTGGTGATATGCCACCACCCTGGGAGAACTTGGAAAGGCACTTCATTTAGGAAGAAGTAGAAACCATTTCCATGCCTGGAATGTTCTGTGAAAGGTGCGACCTGATTCTGGAGGGGGCAAGGTGGAAGAAAATTCAGATGTGTTGTTTACAGCATTAGTGAAGCCTATTCCTTGATCTGCTTTAGAAATGGAAATTACAGGCTCAGGGGTTCAAGTTCTAGCCTTCTCACCATGAAAGAATGAAGGCCTCATCCATCTTTCCAGTGTGGGAGGAACTGGGGAGCCTCCCAACAGATTGGAGCTCCCATGAGGTCCCCAGCATAAGCCCCAGTAAGCACCCCCTTTAGCTCCCACAGCTGGCGCATCTGAGCTGCACAATTAGCACCTTATTGTATCCTGTCCTGTTCACCACTGTCTGCACAGAATGCTATAGCACTTTATTAGATCAGCATAAATGCAGTTATATATAATGCTATCTTGCTCACTGTCTCATGGGTATGTCTTGTTTCCCCAGAGAAAAATGGACAGGAATTATGTATGTCTCACCGGCATCCAGCATTGTGTGGGGCATGTAACAGGAAGTCTGTACGTTCTACTTGCTGTGATGACTGACCACCTGGAAGTGTACTCCTCAAACTGGGACTCTATTTCCAAGCTGCCATTTCTCTGTCTTGGTTATTAGATATATCATTTGTCAAAACATAAACTCTACAAGTGGAAAGAAGTAGTTATCACTCTTGTGGTCCCCCCATCTCTTTTTAAAAGTTGAAATCAACCATTAGGCTCAATCAATTTCCTGCAAAGCCCTGACCTTGTTCCCAGCCCTCGACCACGGGGTTGCTTCTGTTCTGTGTTTGCCTGGCCTTGCCCCATCAGTGCCCTCCCTTGCCTCCCCCTCTGCTGGGTGCCTTTCCTGTACTTGGACTCAGTGGCTGACAGGTGGTTTGGGGGGACTGGAGGAGAAAATGTGGGCATGCTGAGTGTTACAATAGGGCAGGCTTTGTCCAGGCGCCATGGTGCGTCTCCACTGACCTTGGAACTGAGTGACTGGGGACAACCGAGGGGAGGCAGTTTCCTTCCCTCTCCGGGCTGCAGGTTTTTAATGTCTTCTTTGTTGGTCTGGGCCCCTGGAGACTGAACTGAAGGGAGAGACTTTGGGCTGCTCCCTCCCTCCCGGACAAAATGGTGCATGCTTTTCCTGTTTAAACAGGGCGCAGTTGTGAAGTGCCCTGACTTCGCACACACTAAGGCCCGGCAACGGCTGCAATAAATCAATAGGAAAATAGAAGCTGCCAGTTAGACTAAACAAGTGCATTTGCAAAGACGGCTAGCCCTCATTAATCACTCTGACAGTCCTAAAAACACATTTCCCCTTTAATGACTGTATTTGGATAATCAGTGCTTTTTCCTCCTCAGTCAGAGTTTGAGTAACAGACAGCTGGTGTTATTACAGCCATTGGGGAGGGAGTGCTGGGATTAGGGTCGACCCAGAACCGGTCCACTGGAGGTCTCCGCAAACGGAGCTGGCTGCAAAGCTGTTGTTATGCAATAATGAGGGGAAGCTTTGTACTGCCATTGATGGCTCCCGGGCAGCCATGTGCAAGTTCCCCCCAAACCTTGACACCCACCTGCATTATGTGAACACAAAAGCCTCATGTTGGGTTTTATGAGCGTTGGCAGATTTCACCCGGTGGGGGAGGCAGGAGTTTCTCTGGCAGTGAGGTAAGAAGATGGGTCGGTGTGATTTGGCTTTGTTTCCTTTAGGTGACTTTGGCTTTCAGGAGAAAGTTTAAAACCCAGTACATTCCTCTTTATAAATGATGTAACACATTAATGCACAGCACATTATGAAAATGGTAATTCAAACCCATAGTGCTCCAAATTAAACCATACATTATCGGATGCACTCAACCATCTATTTTACAAAAAGACAGGATGAATGAAATCAAATCAAACAGAAAACTGGAGTGCAGTTTCCCCTACAGAATGATTAATAAAGTGCAGAGCCAAAGGATTATTGTAAGACGAATGCCACGGTAACCCAGACATGCATCAGGAAGGAGTTCATATATTGAGAGACACATCACAGGATGCTGGGTAGGGTAAGGCAGTTATGGCTGCCTAAGGATGGTGAAGGGCCCCACACCTCCCACTTGGGCTGCAGATTTTTTAGGAGGTGGGTTTGTGTGTGTGGGGGGGATGACTGGGAAGTTAAAAGCTTAACACCATGCAATTCTGTTTGTGTCAAACCTATATCTGGGTGTGAGTCTTTCCCCTCTCTCTCCTCCTCCCTTCCTCCCAACTGCTGCCCGCGAGGCCACAAAAATAACCAGGCAAGAGGTGTGAAAATATGACTGAGAGCCAGGAACGTCCAGTGTCTCAAGTTCCAGCTCTGTGGCTTCCACCCTTCCTGGTGCCTTGGGAACACAGGCCCCATTTCTGGCGCCTGGGAGAGATGAGGAGGAAGAGGGGGAGGAAGGCTAGGATGAGAAGGCGGTGGAGAAATGGAAGGTGGAGGTAATTCTCAAAGAAGAGTTGTTGGATGAATTATGCAAATAAGCAGTTGGTGGGGAGTATTCTCTCTATTAAAACAACAACTTTGTTTAGAATTTAGCTACTGAAAGTAACAAACTCCCCACCAGCTAATTAAAACAGCCACATTTGTTAGCAATGCCACCCATTTATGGTGGGGAGAACTGACATTTTAGGATGAGAACTAGGGTACTCCAGACTATGATGCCTGCCCTTTGGTGTCACAATGGCAGTTGGGGGCAACCTTCCAGGTCCACAAAGGCCGTTAATACATTTTCTGGGGGAAACTCATTTGTCTGAAGAGTTTCTAACCTGCATTTTCAAACCGCACTGTAAGCCAAAAAGCCAAAAGCTTCTTTTGCTACATGGATAGTTTGCTGTTGGAGATACTGAGTCTCTTCCTTCTGTGGTTCCAACAAGAGGAACCCATTGGTCCTTACGTAGGGAGGCCTGAAGACCATCAAGTTTAAGAAAAAGAAAAGCTTCAGTCTCCCTGCAGAGGGAGCAATCTTCAGCAGCTTTAGAAGGCATTAAAAAAAAAAAAAAGTAAGAAAAAAAGAAAAAAGATGGGAAAGAAATAACCAACTGCAAACAAAATAACACAGACAAAAAAAAAATTACAGCAGATCACATTTCATGTCTTTTAAAGTTTTGGGCCAATTCTCAGGAAGATCCTGACCTGGTTTAAGGGCGACTTCTCCAGCCCATGCAGCCTCTCCCTGACTTAAGTCTCCTGCCCTCCAGGATGCCAGCAGCCCTGGCCCCTTCCTCAGGGACACACATAGGGTCTTAGGGTGGCCAGCACTGACAGTTTCTGCAGAAGCCTGAGGTTCTCTTGACTAGTGAAGGAATTTTGCCCAGAAACAAAGATATAGGGTCAACCTCCTTAAAAACCCCAAACCCCAAGGCCCACAAAAACGTCTTATGCTTAGGTCTGTCAAGTGCGGATGGGATGACTCCGGGTGAGGCTGGGACCCCCGCGCTGTGATTCTCTAGTGGAGTTTGGGGACGGCTGGAACAGCGCGGGCAGACAGGGCATCCCTCGCATCCCTTCCACACGTGACCTCCAGTCTACGGACGTTTCAGAAGTACGCAGTTTGCGGAGCGCTAACTACCCAACAAGTCGCATTCCTCAGAAAAAGCAAAGCAAAGCAAACACAAAAGCAACAACTACAGACCCCGAAGCTGCGTGACGCCGACGCGGAAGAGTGCAGCCAGGAGAGGGCGAGGAAGGCCTTTTTGAAGTACACCCAACAGGTGGCCCCGTGCATCCTGGGCGCAGGAGGCCGAGCCCACGTGCCCAGATCGGGTGAGCCTCGAGCGAGCAGGCGCCCAGGGTCCCGCGGCAGGAACCTGCGTGGGGCCGGCCTCCGCTTGCGCCCCTGATTGCTGCCCCGGGAACCAGCTATCCCCAGGGAGGACGCGGCTCTGGCCTCCTGCAGTCATCCATCTTCTCCGCCGGCCTCAGGGATTCCCCGTGCAGTGGGAAGGTGCCCTGGCCCTCGTACCACTCTCTCTATAAACGGCACCCCACCTTCGCCTTTCCGAGGATGCAGACGCCAGTCAGTCGTGGGAGCTCAAGAAAACAGGGACCCAGAATGGCTTCAAGGTCCGAACTAATAGCCGCACTTTCTCAGCAAAACCCAAACAACCGCTGGCATTGGGAAGCCTCCAAGCCTTGCGAAGCACCCATTTCAGCAAGTGCATTTACCCTTTGGTTTCAGGTGTATAGAAGTCATCGTCAAGAGGACGTCCTTGGCATGTACAGTGGGAAGCGCGCAAGGTGCGGTCAGGGCTGGCGCCAGTCGCTCGGCTTTCTACCACCAGGTGGCGCCAGAGGCACATCGTCTTTGCTCACCCTTAGGACTCTGGTACTGTGCTGCCAGAAGTCTGAGCCTTGGGTCTTGGTTCCCTTCTCAGGACCTCGAACCTCACTCATATCTAGGTCCAGAGGAAAATCCACATTTACACACTCCCGCCACCCTGTCCCCAGGAAATGTCAAGGTCTTTGAAGTGAGTCTGGGAGCTAAATCACCAAGTGGAAAAAAAATAAAGGCGGTTTTACGTTATTTGTAATGCGTTGGCAGAAGTTTTGTTTTTTTCTCCCCCCTTTCTTGAGGAAAGGGTTTGAACTCGTCCTTGAACGGAAATCTGAGAAGGAAACCATAAGGTATTTTAAACAAGAATAAAAGAAGGGCATCTGCTTAGGTGTCTGGAAGTGGGGCGGTGGGTGAGGCAAGAGAGAAGCACACCACGGTGTGAATATAGCCAAGTATTTCATTTATTAACAAAATATGTCTTACCAAGGGAGAGCTCTATTTATCTCAAACAGGCCCTGCAGCCCCCACGCTGCTGTATAAGACCAGGAAGAGGGATGGTGTGGGGAGAAGAACCAGGGCCCGAGTCTTCAATCCGTCACTGAGGGAGCCCATGGAAGCCATGGCCAACTTTGGGGACTCTTGGGTCAGGCGTGGGAGGCGGCGTCGGGGCTGCTGTGATCTGTAGGCTCCCTGACTCTCCAGCCTGCCCCCAACGAAATATAATGTTGTTCTGCCCGCTGGTATTGCCACGGGTCTGCTTTGGAGGGATCTAGCAAGGATCACTGACACCCCCCCCCACCGCCAGAGGGACCACTGCCCCAATAAAGGAGAGAAAAACAATGACTATAAAAGCACTTCGCAAAATATAAAGAGCAAAGTTTCACGCCAGCAGGGCTTTCTAGGACTTATAATTGAATTAAGATGAGCCCTACAGGCCCCCCACCAGCGGGCAGTGGGATCACCGGCTGTTTGGGGCCCAGAAGTCTGGAACCGGAAAGGCTCTGTCTGAGGCCACTCAGGCCCCTCTCTCAGGGCTCTCCGTGCTCAGAGCAATTAGGTAGGGGAGCAAGGCTCTAATTTTGGGGGCCAGGGCACAGACCAAAGACCCTAGAAGGAGAGGGTCGCAGAGGAGGTGTCACAGAGCAGAGTTCCGGGTCAACAGAGGGCAAGACCTCCTGCTACCAAGGCCCCTCCTTGTACCCCCGAACCCCGCCCCAATGCGCCCCAATGCGATACAAAAAAAAAATCTTCTGTTACTTGTACAAAGGAAAAAAAACGGAACCTCAAATGGAAGGAAACAAGGGAATTAAGGGAAAAGAGGGGAAAAGAGAAGGGGAAAATGTAATTTTAACAATGTAATTTTAACGGTAAAGAAGCATGCAAGAAACCCCCCAGGAAGGGAGAACAAAACAAAGAACCCCAGAACCCCAACTCTCCCTCTTCCCCTAAAACCAAACGAATCAAAAAAGAAAAAAAAAAAGCAAACGGAAAAAAAAATTAAACTTATATCTAATGAAAAGAAAAAAAAGAAAGGAAGAGGGGCAGGGAACATGTAGTTATTTGTGATTAATATTATTATTTGGGGGAACACAGACTTTTTGCATACCATTGACTCGTGTGGGCCGTTAATGCACTTATATTCCCAGCTTGTAAGCTAACATTATAGTAAATAAATACACAGTCCGGTGGGGAGGGTCTGGGTGGGGAAATCCGGCAGGGACAAGCAGTAGTGGAGGTTGCAGCGAGGCCAGGCGGCTGGGGAAAGGGAGGCTGAGGAGGGGGTGAGGAGGCCATGGGGAGGTTGGGGGGACGAAGAGCTGTAGTTACTGGTATCCGAGCGCGGAGGCTGAGGCTAGTCTCTGTCCGTACAGCGCATATGGTGAATAGTAAGGTCCGGCTGTGGGGAGGGACGGTACGGCTAAGCCCCCAGCTGTGGATAGGTGGCTCTTGCCATAGGGGTGGTACCGGCTTAGCCCCAAAGTGTGTGGACTCCTCAATGACAGCGACCCGGGGCTGCCCGGGGCGGTGGGCGGGGGTAGGTGCAGATGGCAAGAGGCTGCGGCCGCGGCTGCAGCGGCGCTACCCAGGCCGGAGGCCCCAGGGTAGGCGGCCAGAAGTTTCTCCGCGCCCGGCAGGGCCGTATGAGTCCGTAGGTGGCTGAGCAGCTCCTCCGAGGTGGCGAAGCGCTTGTCGCATGGCCCGCTGGCTGCCACCCAGTTGCAGCTGTGCGGCAGCGGTTCGTTCTGCAGCATGAAGCCGTAAGTGTAGAGCGGGTGGCCCGGGAGTGCGGCCTGGGCAGCGCTGGACGAGAGCGCGGCGGGCTGCAGGGGGTGCCCGGGGTACACCAGTGGGTAGCCGCCAGCCTTCAGGCTGGGCCCTGCCGGGTCGTGTGCGCTGCAAGTGGAGCAGCTGGAGCCGCCGAGGTGCGAGGCGCTGTGGTAACCTCCCAGGCAGTAGGGGTCGCGGCATAATCCCTGCAGGAAGGAGGGTGGGGAGGCCCCGGTGAGCGGGCTGGAACTGGGGGGCTTGCCGGGTGGCAGGCCCAGGCCCCCGGATAGCTGGCCTCCCACGAGGCCAGACTTGCTAGGATCCAGGCCAGGCACGAACTGAGAGGGGTAGCCGGCGTAGGCTCCCACAATGGAGCCGTGGTAGCCGATGCTGGAGGGTGGCAGCGGGAACACCGAGTGACCCGGTTTGTAGGGTGACACCGGCGCCACGTGGCCGGCCCCCACCAGCGCCGAGGGCGGCTCCGACTTGCGCCCGGATGTCCCGGCCTCGGCACCGCCGCCATGCGCGCTAGGCTCCCCACTGCTCCCGCGGCTCACGGCTGCAGCCTCCGGGCTGGGCTTGGGCTCCTGGTCTTTCTTGTCCAGCTCCCCGCTGCCACCCCCACCGCCGTTCTTGCAGTCAGAGTGATGCGGAGAGCCTCCCCGGGAGCCACCCGGCGACGAGGAGGACGACGCGGAGACTGGCACTCCATGCGGGGGAAAGGGTGTGCAGGCGGCGCTGGGGACCCTGAAACCCGCCTTGTCTCCCGGGGACAAGGAGGACGAAGAGGAGGTGGAGGACACGGAGGAGGAGCCGCTGTCTTTACGAGAGTCGCCACCGGCGCCTTTAGAGTAGGGCTTGAAGCTGGACTTGTCCTCAGCCGGGGAGTCCCCCAGCTGCTTGAGCGCCGCAGACGCGGAGGCGGCACCCGAGGTGGAGCGGCCAGGGTCCTTCTCCGCTCCCAGCCCGTTGGCCGCCGCCGCTACCGAGTTGAGCTTGGAGGAGGGCGGCGGGTCCGGCTTGCCGATCTGCGAGCAAGTCTGGGCCAGCAGCGCCAATGGACTTTTCTTGGCGTCCAGCTGTGGGAGACAGTGGCAAAGGGAGGGAGAAGGGGTGAGACTATTATTTGAGACCGACGGAGCAAGCGGGGGACCTGGGTCGGCGCGGAGAGCACCGGCGGTGGCGGCGCGACAGAAGGCCTTGGGCAGAGGGTCTGATAGCGAGCGCCCGGGTGGGGCAGCTGCGCTGAGAACTGCGCTTGTACTGCCCATGGGTGGGATCCCTCGCTCCACTGGGTCCCCGAGTGCGTCACAGATCCCGGGACAGTGGAAGTTAGTCCACGAAAGGCCACCGCGGGAGAAGGTGACTTCTCTGGAGTGCGGGCTGGGGGAGGGGCTGTGACTCGTCCCCTTAAAATCGTCCCCTTTTCTATCCCCAAGGAAAAACTTATTCCTTCAGTTTGGGTAACTTCGCTTGGGACGGGTTTCTGGCGGTAGCGCCGCCGGGTAGGAGCGGGAAGCAGCGCCTTGTAAACCCCGGGCAGCCGCTGCCGCTCCCTAAGTAGCCCCTCCCTCCCGGGGAGGGCACCCAGGGAAGTGGGAGGAAGAAAGACCTGGGATCGGGAGTGCCTGGGCGTCATGCGCTCTAACCGGATGGGACAGAGGCGGCTTAGGACCCGGGCGATCCGGACTTCAAAGAGAACAAACGCGGGTGGTGGTGGGGGAGGCGGGAAAAGCCCAGGAGAGATCATCTCTGGCCTGGAAACAAGGTGCCGAGGAAAAGTAAAGGACCCTGTGGTGACTCCAAGAGCAAACCCAATCAGAGAGAAAACACCATGGGAGAGCGTGGAAGGGGAACCTTCCATGGAGAAGCCTGGCGGAAACTGGGTGGGTTCTGATCCCCCGGTTCTCCGTCTCTCATCACCCACTCCGCCAGCGTGGCCAGAGCAAAGTGTCGCACAGAGCCCCGGAGAGCGGGGAGTAGGGCCGTGGGCCCCCGCAGTGGTGGGAGGAATGGGGAGCGACCAAGTGACTGACCTCAATGGGGCTGACGGGAGTGGAGGACAGCGGCTGCAGGTACTCCGGGTGCAGGAGGTGGCCGGTGTGAGCGCTCAGCATCTTCAGGACCCTGATAGGGAGCCGATTCGCCTGGCGCAGGGGGTCCGCCGGGGGCAAGAGGGACACCGCCGCCGGCACCGCCGGCCTCTTCCCGCCGCCGCCGCCGCTGCCGCTGCCGCTGCCGCTGCTTTCGGGTGTCCTTGGGTTAGATCCAGCGGGCGAATCGCTCATTTGGAGGAGGCAGCGCCACTGGGGGGGTGGGGAGGGAGGGGGAGCACCGAGGAGGCGAGCTCCCGGAGCGGGTGGGCTCGCTCCGCAGCGTGGAGCGCGGTGCAGCAGTCGCCGCGCCTCCACCCCTCCTCCACCGACGCCACCGCCGCCGCCACTAGCCCAGGCGAGCCACACAAAAACCTTCGCCTTCCGCGAGCCGCACGTCAAATAGCCGCGATCGGCAGCCACACTTCAAAGGGATCGCCGCGCCCGCCCAATCGCAGCTCTCGCCGGGACCCCGGGGCGGGGAGAGCGACGGGCGGAGGCCGGCGCCGCTGGTGGGAGGGGAGAACCTTAAAGGGGCCTTGTGCGCGCGTCGCCACCGCCTTGGCCTTTACCACCCGCTCTACTCCTCCCCTCCCCCCGCAACTGGGCTGCCCTTTCCCGGGGGTCCCATAGAGGACGAGACTTCTCTGGGACCCTGGGCTCTGCGCCCTATTCTCCGCTGGCTTCCCTTTCGCTCTCTCTCCACTCTCCCTTCATGCCACCGGGGGAGGGGCAGGCGTGGGTAGTTACCCGCCCGCGGAGTGTGTCTGGGGTGTGTTGGATTGTGGTGGGGTGGGGGTGGAGGGTAGGAGCGCACTGCGCTGGCTCCGGTACTGCCGAGCCCAGTCCTCTCCCCGAGGTCGCCTGCGGGTGGGCCGAGCCTCCAGAGCCCCAGCCCTGTTCCGGCCCTGCTGTGGCTCTGCTCGGGATCTGCTCTAGTCCAACTCATTTCCCCGAACTGGATTCTCCGGGGTGTGCTCTCTCGGAAGCGCCAGAGCCTCGGAGGCATCCCCGGTTCTCGGCGTCAGCCGCTCCAACTACTTTGAGCCTGTCCTGTCGGAAGCCTGCTTGTTTGAGGACTCCCTTCCGGGGTGAGATGGTCGCGATGAAGCGCGGTACCCTAGGCTGTGCGCTCTACCCGGACGCGCCTGGCGCGCGATGCTTGCGCACTGATTTATGGAATCGGTGTGTGTTTCGGCGTTTATTATCATGTCTTGTTTAGAGGCGTAAAGTTTCCCTCACGGTACCGCGCCTAACTGCTATTTTGGGGGGGCCCGAGATCACTGGATAGATCAGTATCCCAGAGGATGTGAGGATCTCTAAGTGCTGCATGTCGATATAAACTTTAGAGAGGTGCCCCCCCTTCTGCCCCCATCCTTTTCTTCTCACGGGAAAAATGTACTACCTTTTCCCAGAGAAATTTCGGAATAAAAACTTTTTATTAGAAATAACAATACCCTCCTCTACGCCCCCTCCCCCCCGTGCCTTTCGGATACAGTGTGCATTGCCAGCTTTACACTTGGCAGAGATTTTACATAGTCATAGTCCTGACATTAAAGTTCCCCGGTCCGTCGATCTTCAGAAGGTGAAGCTAGTCCTTTGTGCGCCGGCCTCTGGGGAGACCACTTCTCCGTGCTCTCGGTGGCCAGTGGAGGCGCGCTGGTGTCACTGCCTCGCTTGGAGTACCACTTTCTCAGCCCCAATCCATCATTCTGATTGTCAGTCCTGTCACTCGGGGCATATTGCTTCAGGACTACCCGTCCCTGACTCCGCAGCGTTGATCTGCGCCTCGAGACTACGAGAACCCAAGATGGGGATAGGTGATTTCAAAGGGGTTCTTCAAACAGAAAGAAAGGACTATCACAGAAATAACAAATAGCAATCACGACTATCATGCTCAGTAAAGACAGCAGGCATCACTCCCAGGCCTTATCAATCAAACACTAAACTAAATGTACGCCCTGGTTCTGTGCAGTTTTTTTCTGGCAGTGTGTATGGTACTCTTAGAAATTCCACCTGGCTTCCCCTACCCCAATTTTAATCCTGGTAAAATCAGGTTAAAAGGAATGTCAAGGGGTGCCCTGACTGGGAGATATCTTACATATTGCTGCAAGAGGGGTACAAGAAGGGAGGGTGGTTGGTCTCTATCGCCTCCTCCTGCCCCCAGCTCTTCTCATGTCAGCCTCTGCATTCTGACATCGCTGCCACTGCCAATACTATGTTTAAAAGTCCACTGCAGGGCTGCTTCAACCTTCAAGGCTATTTAGCCTTTGGGAAGCTGCCGTACAGAGAGAAGACAGAAGAAAGCCTAACAGAATGGAAAAGGGTGGGCCTGTGTAGGCACCTTGAAGGAAGAAGAGCTGGGAAGAGGGGACACCTAGGAGACAGTAAAAGATGAAAGACTCCTTGATTATTGTAACCAGCTCAGCTGTGAGAGCCAGCCAAAAAATCTTTCTAGGACCCAAGCCGATGTGTGTTAGGAATGATTAATGGGAAATCAGTTGGGAGCAAAGGAGAGGGGAGAGAGAGAAAAGGCATTTAGGAATTTGGAAGGAAAAGAAGGGCCAGGAGGCAGCAGAAAGGAGAGAGAGAAGAATGGAAGACGATAGAATATTCTATATTTGGAAAGGAAAAGAGAAGAAAAACGTAGTGAATGAATGAAAGGAAAGGAGAAAGGAGGAGATGAGGACAGGATGGCCAGGCTGGGGGTGGAAGGTGAGGAGTTTGCCTAGGTAATAATACAGAGGGTACCAAAAAAATATATACACATTTTAAGAAAGGAAAAAACTATTAAAATTGTGATACTCAATATATGCCGAAAACAAAAAATGAATACAAGTCACGCTTGACTTCTGCAATTACAAGAGGTGTTCAAAGTGGTTACCATCAGCATCCAGACACTTCTGAATATGGTGAACTACTGCTTGAGTGATGTTAACAAAAGTGTCCCCTTGTATACATATAATGGCACCCCCGGTATATTGTCCTTAAAAAGAAACCCTACTCCCTTAGCCCACAGCAGTAATCACTGATAGGACTAGGGGATGCAGACAACACTGAGGTGGAGCCCAAGCCTGTTTTTGCCCACCCACCTTCCTGGAAAGTGCTAGCAAGGGAGTAGGGACATCCTCTTTTTCGGTGCTGGTGAAGGCAGCAGGACTCCTTTGACTAGATACATCCATCCAGTCAGCTTAGGAGAGAAAATGGAAAACCATACTTAGCCAGACCAGAGGCCTAATTCAAACACTACTAGACAATTACTAGAATCAGTATTTGATATTCACTTACATAGTTGAAATACTAACATACACAGAGTCCTAAATGGGGCCCTAGTGGCCTAAAGCAAAGGCAGTTTTCAAAGGAATGGTTTGTCACCTGGGAGAGACTAAGGCTCAGTATTCAGTTGGGCCACGTTTATTGAGGGCCAGATGTGGACAGAGCATTTTGCTAGGGGTGTGGCTGAAAAGTCCATGCGAGATGTTGTCATACAGAACGGGGCATATGGCCCATGTCCTCCCTTGCAGAAAAATGGCAGATGTATGGTTAAGGGGCCTCCGTCTCTCCAGGCCTTTTTCAGATTGCCTTGTGAGTGAGCAGCACCATTAAAACAGGACAAGGGGTGAAGGCTGCTGGAGAATGCCCCAACCTTTGTGGTGAAGAACAGCAATTCTGTGTGTCAGGCACTTGATCAGCACCAGGTTCTATTGTTCTCATTCCCATTTACAGCTGAAGAGAGTGAGGCCTGGAGAAGTTAGTCCCTTACTCAAAGTCATATGACTGGTGATTGGCAGAATGGCCACTTAGAGTCAGACCCCTGAACCACAATGCTGTGGCGGCCCTGGCAATTGCATCTCCCTCCGCTTTGGTTCCTCGTGTAAAATGTAAGAGTGGCCACCTCAGAGGTGGGAGGCCCAAAGCAGACAATGCATGCAACATATTTAGTGGTTGGCACAAAGAAAGTCCCAGGTAAATGAAGGCTGTGATGGACCATGTGCTCTGTGGAGCAATTGCTCTGGAGAGCCGTCATGGCAGCAACCGGATTCAGAGGGCCTCAGCACTGGGAACTGGCCAGAAGACCCCAAGCTGTCCTAGAAGTCCACCTAAATAACAATCTTCCTCCCCCAGCCTCCAGTCAAATGTCTTTTTTTTAAATGCCTCCCCGCCCCCCATAAGCCATCAAGAAAATCTTTTAGGAGATTCTGAATATTTATGGTTTTCTTCACTACTTCAATTTACATAAAATTCACCACCCAGGAAAAAATGCCTGAGTCAGGTTGAGAGGTAGAGGTGGTAGATTTGTTGTGTGGGGTTAATGTGGAGTTTTCAGTGTTCTATGAGGCAGAATTGCCTGAATGATCGCCTCTCTGCATAACACTCAAACCCTAATGGCAACAACATGAAATAATATCTCACTGGGTAACTATTTACATTTTTTTTTACAGGCTGTAAGAACTCTGAAAAGTCGGCCTCATAGAGAACTTGGTTTTCCTCTCTGGTGCTTAATAGTTTTCAGCGGCTGGCAATTAGGGCCTTGGGCAGGAGCCCTGATGTAGCTCATGGCGCTCAGGGTACTCCGAGGCCCTTCCTCCATAGGCCTCCTCCCAGGCTTCAGACATGACCCGGGTCAGGGAGAGGGCCAGAGGGACAGAGGACCAGTCTGGTGAAAGCGAGAGTAGCTAGCCTTGCAGGGAGCACACTTTAGTAGCTCCCTCTTCTGTTCTAACCATTCCTAGTAAGTTCCATTATTTTACCTGTCACATGGCATCATTGTTTGTTTACTGTCTGTTCTCCCATTGGACTGTGAATGCTTCTGCATTGTCCTCATTTTCTTTGTTTTCTGATTGCCTAGTTGGGTGTTTAACTATCATCATCACAGTAGCCAACACGGGGAGCCAAACTCTGTTGTAAATGCTTTGCTTGCATTATCTCATTTAATCCTTATAGGAAGCCCTGTGAGGGAGGTCCTATCATTACCCTCACAGAGGAGGAAGTGGATGAACAGAGAGGTTAAGTAACTTGCCTGACACTCCAGCCGTTAAGAGGTGGGGCTGGGTTGTGAATCCAGGCAGTCTGAATGCCATAAAAGCCTGATGAATGTTTGTTGATGAAGGAATAAGAATTTTACATATAGAGGGCTGTTGACTTATATCTTACCTCACAATATTCCCCCAAAAGATTCAACGTGAATGACTGTGTAATTTTCAAAACGTTAGCTGTATAAGCATGTTAAAGTATCTTGCCCCAAATACATGTTTGTGTTCATCATCTCATAACAATTTTCTGAGTTATTTTGGGCAGGTGTTTTTATCGTCTTTGACAGATGAAGCACTGGGCTCTGAGAGCTTATGTGGGAGTCTAAAGTCACACAGCGAACCCTGGCAGAGAGCCAAGAGGAGGCCTTCCTAACTCCCTCCTGGTTCTCCTATCACCGCCCATTGCCTGTGGATGGGGAGGTAACTCCTTTTGATAAAAGAGGAATTAACTACTTTTCCTCCCTCTAGAATTTCCTTTGGAGATGTGGTGGGAAGGAATGGACAAAAGGAAATGTAGACTGAAGCTTATCTTCAAGCCCTGGTGTTTGATCCGGGTCCTTGAGTAGGGTGCTTTGAAGAAGTGATTTCATTTATCTCCTATCAGCCCCCCGGGAGATAGGCAGGGCTGGCGGGAGAGGGGGATGAGAGTAGGTGTGCTTTTGAAGTTCTCCTGCCTTCATCTGCCTGCCCCCTCCCCCATACATCAACCTTAGCCCTGGGCATTCACCCTTGACTACTTTGTTCCTTTGGGCCTTCAAGTTTCTTAGAGATTCCTCTTTTAAGTTGCAAATACTGCTGGAAGGAATCATACCTTAGCAATCAGCCATACCTCAATTGTGATTAGCAGACAATGCGTGTTCTACCTAGTGTAATAATAACATTTATTGAGTGCTTACTCTGTGTCAGACATTGTTCTTACTGTGAAAAATCATTTACTTCTCACAGCAAACTGATCAGATGGGTACTATCATCATGCCTGTTTTATAGGTGAGGCACTGTGGTCCAGAGAGGTTAAGTAACTTGCCCAAATTACACAGCTAGAAGGTGGCAGCACTGGGATTCAAATAGTCATTTCTGGAGCCAATTTTCTGTGTGCAGTACTGAGGGAGAGAGTGAATAGCAGCAGGAGAAACTTAAAACAAGTGATTTTAATCATTTTCCAGAGGGCTGGTCTCTACTATCAAGATTTTCTCTACATCTTGAGGAACAAGAATATGGTAGAAAGGAAACTGAGGCAGAGAAGGAAGTGAGGGGAACATTCATTCAATTAATTGAACTGGATTGAGTTAGTTAATTCAGCTACTGTTTATTGACCACTTGGGAAGGTGCAGGCCCAAGGTGACCCCAAGGTAGGTAAGGACCAGAGCAAGCCAGCCAACCCAGGTCTCCCACCTCTCAGGTGTGCACACTTCCAGCTCCTGAAAGGCAGGGCAGCCCTGTTTTTTTTTTT